CCGGCGGCTCCGGGCCGTGGATGGATGGATGATGGATGGATGGGCTCCCCCCGGTGCCGCCGGAGCCGGGCAGCGTTCGCACTCACATAGGCAGAGCCTGACACCACGGCGTTTCACAGGCCAGTGTTGGCTCCTCACAAACCCTGGTCAAACGGGGTGTATAAAGACAGCTGTTGATTTCAAGTTAAGAACTCAGAGCGTTTTTCACCTATGTAAACTTTACATCTATTCTGCCTATACTTTCTGCCGCGATGTTTGGTCTAAAGCAAATTCTTTTATCTGTCAATTTGTTTCATGTGTTGAAGCATGCAGTAACCCAAGGGACTTGATGTCAGACGTACATAAATCTCTCTGAAGAGCTATGCAGAGAACTGACTGTTTGCAAGATCAAGATTAGAAAGCAATGAATGTATGTGTTTCTGCTATGGGGCATTATAAACGCTGTTTACACTAACAGGGATACCAATATTTTTGTGATAATACACTCACCTTTTTAAAAACAAAGCATCCTAGACGTCAGTGATTATTTTCTATAGATAAACAAGAGCTGTGTTTTTATCCCAGGAGTGCATGGAGTATAATCAGCAAGATTTAGATACTGAGCTTGTTCTCTAAGCGTAGTAGTAAATCATTCCTAAATCTTAAGGAGATGTTCCACAAATTCTGCTGACTTTCAGTGTAAGACTTCACGTCCAACAACATTGATTTATTTAAGTATAGGTCTCGTGCCTCTTAAGAACATACCATCTGCTTAAATTGTGTTTACAGTATGGAAGAAGTCAGCATTTTTGTGGTGAATTATAGAAAAATGATAGTCAGACTTACTGTATAAGTGACACCTGTTTAGGAATAATTTGTTAATTGATACTTTGAGGCTGATTCTTGCGTTCTTCAACTGAATAGGTTCAGTTAATATCACATACTAATTTACTGAATAGCTACTCAGTCTAATGCAACAATAATAACATGTAATTACCTGCTGCAGTTACTCCAGTCTGCTTGCAGGGTTCAGCTCTGGGGAAGAGGGAGGGAGAAATATGTGGGATAGAGAGGAGGTCATATTCTTCACCAGTGTGAAGTCACGCTATTCATTCAAGTCAAGAGATTGCAGTTTGTAAATCTGCCACCCACTTGCTCAGTGTTGGGAGCCTTTCTCCAAAGGAGCACTGGTGAGGTACGGTCCCAGCTTCCTGCGAAGAGGACTCTCCGGAATCAGCCTACAACTGCAGTGCTGGTGTTTGCATAACTGCTCTTCTGAAGCATGTAACATATACATTTTAGTCTAATTACATCCCTAACAGCTGGTTCATGTTGATAGTGACCGAAAATTTTTCCTAGTCAGACAAGGGGACTTTGATTATTTTTTTGTGAAGTAATTCGTTGTATTTTCTTTCTATGCCCAATCTGAACATGAAATATGTATCTGACATTATAGCTGACTATGTATATGCACAAATGTACTCTTGGTAATGTTATTTACTTCATATACATGGAAAATTGTCAATGTGAGTGTGCAGCATCAAACTGAAGCCAGGCACATGAGTGAAAATTGAATGTGCTGTGCTGGGCATACACCGCTCTCACTGTTGTCAACTGGAGCTGTAATTGCTGTGTTGGTGAAATGAAATTTGCTTCAGACCTATGTACTGCTCTGTAGGCCAGATTTCTCTCTATGAAAAAGCTTTATGCAGTTGTAGTAAGGGCTTTTATTGGTGAATATTTAGTTGCATTGCATAGTAATTTTTCATGACATGTACTACCATACACACCAGTAACACAGGCACTGCATAGTGATACCTCTGGTTTAGTGCAGGACCCTTAAGTTATATTCTAGCAAGGCACAAGAAAAGGTATAATTAGTCACTTTATTATAGGAAATAGATTTGTTTATGTACAAAAGTATGTAAGCAAATGTATGCCAACAAGTACAGGATACAAAGTACATACAGGGGAGTAAGGATTAACTTTGTCATTGATTTTCCAGTTGCTAGTAGGTCTATGATGGTAATGCATTTGGCTACAACAACTGTGAGAGAAAACCTTTTCTTTTATAACTATCCCCTTCTATACAAAACATTATACTGGGAAACTGGAGAGACTTCTGCTGAGAAGGGGCAGTGGCCACAAGACAGCATGTGGCTATTTCATGTACAATATTCTGGGTGTTGCCATGAGTGGAAACCATGTTGCCAAGAGAAGTGACTTTTGGTGAGATAACTATTTACAGGGGTACTGCAGCTTCGGCTATCACTAAATCCAGGTGCACATAAAGCATATACATGACCTGTAGTCACTTGGGTGATCTCAGAAGTGAGTTTGGGCTATTTTGTTTATCTGGGGAAGGCGAAGTTGTTGCTCACTTATGACTGGTTAGCAGACTTTGAAGTGAACTGCAGATTGCTCTAGTCCATCTATGCCACTAGAACCTTCTCAATTTGACATACTCTTTTGGTTTTTTAAATTTTATTTGTGTGTTTTTGCCTCTTTTCACTATCTGGACTTTGACTTCCAGTCTCCCTGCAACCCCCATTCCCTGTGCAAGGCTGGAATTTAACTGAGTATGAGCATCACATCACTGATGCATATCAAATCTGGAATGGTGGCACAATACCCACTTGCCTATGGGTGTTTCTTGGAGGTCTTGGATTTCTTTGGATTTAGCAGAGTCCCCATGTCCAAAGCCAGAAGTTGTATTGCTTTTCTGTTTTAGCTTACCAGTTTTCAGCCTCCTACTCTGCTGTGTTTAGGAAAAACTAAAACCAGTTCTTACAGTCCTGAAATGCCTCTTCCCTAACATCTCCTACAATGGCAGAAACACTAATAGATGAGTCTCTTCTCATGTCTGGTCGAGTTTACAGTAGGCAAGGCTGGTGCCCTTGGTGCTTTTATTTGGTAGCCAATAGATGTGGCAATGTACCAGACCTACTTTTATCACCATAAGCTAAGATGCCCTGGATATATCTTTGTAACATTAGCTCAGCTGGTGCTAATGGGTTTTCATCTCTCTGCTGTGCCTTTTTGCTCAGCAATTTTGATTTGGTGTACCGCCTCTGATATATTTATCTTTTTTTTTTTTTTACTAAGGTGGGTGATCTACTCTTTGCTAGTTTCTACAGGTATAGTATCTTTTTTCAGTGTTGCTGGATTCAACAGCTCTCCTAAAGCATAATCTCCCCTGCATTTTAGGATGTTTTCTTTTTGCTTGGCTGTACCTTGTTTTCTAGGTGTTCTTGTCTTTGAAACTTAACCTATGTGTTCAGCCAGAGCACTGCATGACCCACAGTGACTATTCATTCCCAGGGTATTAGATGAAGGAGTTGTGGTGTTGTATTGCATGCAAATCCGTGTCTTGCTCTGCCCCGTTGCCCAGCGGTGGGTGGTACTCCTATGAGTCATCTGCTATAAATGCCAAATGATAGCATCTTTTGCTTCATGATGTTCTTATTGGCAGCGTTGTGCATCACCAGCACTTGGTCACATTTCTCCTGTCTAATATTGCTGCTCATCACAATTGCAGTGATCATGTTGCAGCTGGCTCCACAATCCCGCTGTAATCTAGCTAGTTGTTTGATCCAATGACACAACTGGAGGTACAGCTGATAGTTTTGTATCGTATATGTACACAGAAGTATTTGCTTAAGTTATGTGTCATATGTTTTCTTATAGTGAATTTTTCTGTCCTCAGTCACTGCTTGTACAACTACATGAACTACTCACTTACCCCCTTCCCCAGGATTACTGCAGCATTAGTATATAAAGCAGTTCTGTTTCCCACAGTTGTCCATAGATTGTGTATTTTTTTCTTGCAGCCTTTCCTGATACTGTCCAGATCCTATGCACAGGAGCAGGGTCCCAACAACCTCAGTTAGTCTTTGTTCTGCGCTCTAAATTCTTCAAAAGTGTCTCTATGTACTTAATCTTCACTAGAATTTATCATTGTTTTGATCCTTTCCCTGTGTAATTCAGCTGTCTGTGTTGTTTGCAGATACTTACCCAAGATTAAATCTGTTTTCTCCTATTGACAGTTCTACAAATGCTCTTGCCCTAAATAATGATTTTTGTCTGTCTAAACTTGAAGTGGATGGCCTCATTCTTAGTTCTCTAATGCAAGCATCTATTCCTTCTTAATGTCTCATGACATCAGGCTGATTTTTTTTTTTCTACAGTATCATTTTATTTGAGGTCATAGAACTCACTGTACATGTTTTATACTCTCCCCCCAATATTTCCAGCACTTTAAACATTTATTCACTTTTTGTCTATTTCTTCCCTGTACTCATCACTGTTAGACTGGAGGAACAATGGGATGATGTAGTAAAGCTTTTAAAAATTGGTACAAATTCAGGTCCTTTTAAGACTGTGCAATGTGTTTTGTAAGAAAATCTAACTTTTTTGGTAGTCTGGATTCCTTCATGTTGCCAGTACTTTCTGTTTCTAAAAGCTATGTGAATCTTTGTTTTTAACTCTCTCCATTGCAGCTGTCCCACTAGGCTGGTTGCTACCATGGTATTGGTATGTTGGGTGCTGGTTATCGATGCTAGAGGATTCTAAAGTGAAACTTTCAAAAACTAAAAGCTAGCGTGCTACTTTTGTCCATGCAAAATGCTACAGAATGCCACTTTAACTTTATGAACTTGTAGGCACTTTGTTAGTAAAGTCAGTGGGAGCCAACCGGTCCTCATCTCCTGACCTGCAGCTGCATAGAGTTACCTGATGTGCCAGGTAGGTCCTGGATGGCCTGGTGCAGGGATGCTGCAGTGATTCACTGCAGGGCAGTTCAGCTCTGCATGACCCATGGTGACCCACACTGATTCAGACCTGCCTGTGACAGAGCTACTCAGGTGTCATTGGGCTATATTTGCTGGTGCTCTGAGTCCTATGGGGATAAATTTGATACAGCGCAAACTAGCCTGCATTGGTCTCATGATAATAGCTCAAGCAGGAGAGTGGCATTTGAACCACCAGCCTGACCTCAGAGCTGTGCCAGAGCCTCACAGGTACAGTGTTTCTCTGTTGGGAGCATAGTTAATCCACTGAATCTGGTTAAACCACCCGTAGATAATTGAGAATTG